AGACAGATGCTGGCCTGGTTAAATTTGTGACACCAGGCCATACTCGTCCCTTCGTCCACTCAACTCCTCTGGCACGTAGTGACTGTAACCTCTTGGCAACTAGCATGGGCTTCCTGGTGGTGTTACTTATCTTCCTGGGAACTGTCTACTCCACAATTATACTTGAATAACTAATAGAAATCCCAAATAGATTTTAAATAATTGTTAAAAAAATAAAATTCCTGATTCTTTTTCCCTATCCCTAACCTGTTCCTCCTAGTCTCACCCATTTCAGTAATGACAATTTTATTCTTCCAACTGTTAAATCAAAAACCTTGAGGTCATTCTTGACAACTCTTTCTTTCAGACCCTTAAACCAATCCATCAAGTAAACTTGTCAGTTCTGCCTTCAAAATATATCTAGAACCTGGTGTTTTTTTTGGTCCCCTTCACTGCTATCACACTGCTGTGAGCCGCCTTCATTTTTCACTTGATCAGTCTCCTGGCTTCTACTCTTACAGCCTAATCCACACAGTAGTCTGTCCTATATAATAAGAGGGAAATATGCTAATTATCCATTACACCCTGAGGCATAATGACGACTATGAAACACTGATCACTGATCTGCAGGAGGGTGGGGCAGCAAACTACAAGCAGGCCCGCAGTGGAGAGCTACAGGTCAGGACAGGGCAGGGCAGCAAGCTACCAGTTGGGGGCAGGGGGAGCTACAGGAGGGCAGTGACATACTGGAGCATGGATTCGTGTGCAGGGCTACTATACGGTATTTTTTATAAAACAAGTCATGTCATGTAACCCCTCTGCCCAAAGCCTTATACTGGTTTACCATATTGGATTAGAAGCCAAATCCAATCTGGATAATGACCTATAAGTACCCTGGCCTAAAGTACCTCTCTGATGTTTTCTCCTACGTATCACGATCCCCATTGCTCACTTTGCTCTGTGATACATGCTCAATAAATATTGAACAGAATAGGTTAATCTGTTCTTCCTTATTCATAATGGATAAACTCCCTGTAGAGAGAAATTTTGTTATTTTTTTTCTTTGTGGTCCTAGGAGCTAGCAAGTGTTCTGACCATAGCAAGTGTTCAATGTTTGCTGTAATTAGGATGCAATCTTGGCTCTGAAAGTCTTCAGTTTGTACCAGATCGTGCCGTGACATTGGTATTTCATACTCCTTTTCCAAGGTACCAAAGTTCTTTGGTCCAAAACCTGCAGGATTATGGATGTTTTGTGGCATTATGAATGATTAAACTACAGGGTACCAACCCATGGCTGCTCGGACAGAGATTCTGATCAGGAAGATGAGATACTCAGAGTACAGAGCAAGTCATTTCATGGTCTGTTGGCTTTGCTGTGGTCTACCATCCTTCCCCTGGCCTTCATTTCTAATTCTAGTGACTTCTGCTAAAACATTTGCTTATAAGCAGAATCAACCACAGACAGGAAAACAAAACTCTATTGCTGGACAACTAAAGGATGGACTGGTAGTCAATAATATTATGATATTGAAAAGACTGCACATTATCCTATGACAGGACTGGTTTTAAAAAAATCAAAAAGTCCTTACCTCAATGAGATCATTTATGAGCCTGGTAGCTAAAACAAAAGAAACTCTAAGAGTGGAGTCTTTTTTGTTTTTTCCCCCCAATTTCATGAACTTTGAAAAAAATAATAAATCAAATAAAATATTACTCATATCTCAGAGCTGGCTCTTAATCTAACAGAAAAAAACAACAACAACTAGCACATGATGAAGGGACAAACAAAATAAAAGAGGCAGACATAAGAAATAAGTTAATTATGCAATTAATTTGCATAGCAGACTTTATATCAGCCAACTACTACACACAATAGGATTGGGGCAAAGACCCATCCCTGGGCCAAGAGAACAAGACCACATTTGATTGCCAATGGGTATTCTTGGCCAATCCAAAGAAAGTTGGCAGGCTAGTATCACATAGCAAAAATTACAGAAACAGCTTCACAAAAGGTAAATAATTCAGAAAACCCAGCAATGTCATTCTAATATAGGTTACTACTGGTAGTAGGAGAAAACCACAATCTTCTCACTGGCACATACCCCAGAGTCAACTAAAACTAATCTGTTTCCCTCCTTATCTACTCTCTCTGGTGATCTCCTGCCTGTTCTTGTCCTCCTCTTGAGTTTGTACCATATGCCTAATCAATTTTGGCATCCTCAAAATTTTACTTCAATCTGAGAAAATGGAGTCAACACTGGTCTATACTACCAGAGATATCCATAGAATGAAGTGAAATAGTACTTATAAGGTTACTCTTAAGATCATATTGAGGCAGCAAAATCAGTTCCAGGAGAACTTAAGCATGCCACCACCTCACCCCAGGGCCTGCAAACTGTGGCTCATGAGCCACATGCAGCTCCTTTGGCCCCTTGAGTGTGGCTCTTTCACAAAATATCACAGCCTGGGCGAACCTATTTTGTAGTGGCATTAAAAGAAGTTTAAATTTAAATATTTGGATCTCAAAAGAAATTTCAATTGTACTGTTGAAATTTGGCTCTGTTGATTAATGAGTTTGTCGACCACTGTCCTTGCCCTACCACCGTTGGCCTGGCTATGATCTGTTCTAGCTCTTCAGTGCGATCATTTGCACATTAAAGGTGTGAGAACAGTGAGAGAGGAATATCAATTCAAGGGCAATGGGGAGGAGGGGAGGGGAAAAGAGGGGGGAGGAAGTGTGAACCATGGATCTGAGTCTCACAGTAAAGGGCTAAGTGTTACATCCATGGCAATAACCTGCTTTTTGACGATGCTTCCTTCTTCCTGCCTACTGCCTGTGTTGTAAGCTATCAGCTTCTGTGTGGTTCAATGAGACAGACTGGAGTCAGAAAGACAGATGGAATTCTTCCTACACAGGATGAAGCAGAATAAAGAATGCTAGGCAGAAGGATGGGGAGGTAGTTTCTCAGGGATAGGAAACTCCTTGACAGCTCAGGACAACCAAACGTCAATCATATCTTAAATCCAGGCTGAAGGAAAGAAGAATATTCCACATTTTACTTCCTTTCCTAATACTTCCTTCTTTATGGTTCCGGTGGCTTCAGGAGCTAGGATTATTGTGGCGGGGACATAAGACCTGAACCTGATTTGCTAAAAAAAAATCTAGATTTATTTAAAGTCAAAGAAGAGAAGAAAGAGTTATCATTTTTCCTAGGAATACATTTCAATCACCTGAGTGAGCATGAGTCTGAGTGAGCATGAGTCTGACTGACAATCCTGTGACTTGTGCAGGAAAAATACCTTTGAAAAAAAAAAAAAAAACAGAGCAAGCTAACTGGGTAGACATCCCTGAATGTAAATAACTAAAAATGACTATCCCAATGGGAGGGAGGACAAATTTGATCTTGGTATCTGTCATTAGGGTTGTTTAAAAAGATAGATTCAGGAGCTCTGCCCTCAACAGTCATTTTTGGGCTGGAAATAACAACCTCAGTGAACCAGGCTGACATGTCCCCCCACCCCACCCCCCACCAAATTAAACATTCCAAAAGCTCAAAAATACTTAAAAATTATAGAGTACCTATTTCATTTAAAAGGCATTTAACCAATGCTTCATAAATTATTGTCCTTATGATTAAAATGGTCATGGAATTTAAGGAAACAAGTAAACTACAAGAAAACTCCGGATAAAATTACAAAGCTAAACATACATCTGGCCCAGCCCCACTACAGTGACGGAAGAAGGAGAATTAATTACAATTCTTTAAACTAGTAACCCTTAACCATCCATCTCCCTTCCATAGCTAGAGGGCAGGATGGTCTTTGAACCCAGACTTCCAGTCCTGGGGGGTTTTCCTTCATTAGAACCCCCCCAATACCAGCCCAAGTCCCCAGCCCCCAGCCCCAACCCCCAGCCCCAGCACTAAGCCCCAACCCCAGCCCATCCTAGCCCCCAGTCCCAGTCCCAGCCCTCAGTCCCAGCCCCAATCCCCAGCCCCAACCTCAACCCCAGCCCCAGCCCCCAATCCCCAGCTCCCAGCCCCAGCACTAACCCCCAGCCCCTGCCCTTCCTAGCCCCCAGTCCCAGTCCCAGTCCCAGCCCCAGTCCCCAGCCCCAACCTCAACCCCAGCCCCCAGCCCCAAGTCCCAGCCCCCAGCCCTCAGCCCCAAGTCGCAGCCCCCAACCCCAACCCCAGTCCCAGCCCCAGCCCCCAGCCCAACCCTAGCCTCAGCTCCAACCCCCAGCCCTAAGTCCCAGCCCCAGTCCCAGCCCCCCAGTCCTCAGTCCTCAGCCCCAGTCCCCATTCCCCAATCCCCAACTCCCAGCTCCAGCCCCAGCCCCAGCCCCAGCCATTAGCTGGTCAGTGAGGCGTAGCAGCCCGGTTTCCATCTATTTGGGGGGTGTGGAAAGGGCGGGTAGGAGAGGAGTAGGAGGAGAGCTGATTAGGATGAAGAGATGCCTGTGGTTCAGGAAACCTTTCCGTTCCATCCTCCTTTTCCTGTCACCTTTCAGGATGCAAGGTCAAAGGCAGATAAGAACAACAACAAACGGAGAAGATTGTGCATAAGGGCAAGGTGGAGTCAACAAAAGTCACTTCATCCTGTGACTGTCAAGAAAACCCCCTTCCCACTTCGTCCTCTCCTCACGCCCACTAGGAGCCCCTTCTGTCTGGCTCCTGAGACAGGCCGAGCATCCCGCAAGGCTGCCCTGGCCGCGAGGCTCCAGCCCCGCGCGATGCAAATCCGTCCCGGGAATAACGGGACAGGGAGGCCACTGGGGCGAGAAGGCGGGGCAGGGTCTGCGCCTCTAGAGCAGACCCGCAGGGGCAGGCGGAGCCGGGGTGCGGGAGGGGCACCAGGACCCTGAGAGCCCCTGGGGCAGGGGATGGACGGAGAGGCATCCGGAGCAGCAGGGAGTCAGAGGGCAGCGGCGCGGGGCCCGGGGGTGACTCAGTGAAAGCGGCGATGGGCGGGCCCGTGGCCGCGGGCGCGCGGGGGGCAGGGGCGGGCGCGGGGCTCACCGTGTCCTTGGACGAGCCCAGCTTCCTGAGGCCGTCCAGGGGCAGGAGGTCGGCCGAGTCCTTGTGGATGAACTGCACGGCCTGCTTCATCCGGCGCTGCTGCCGCAGCGACGCGGCCTCCCGCAGCTCCGGCTCCTTGCGGCCGCCGCCCTCGGTCAGGAGCCCTGAGTAGAACATCGCGCTGAGGCCCCGCGGGCGCCGCTCCGGGCTCCCGGGCTCCGCGTCCTCGAGCTCCGCCGGCGCCGCCAGCCCCGCGCGCCGCGTGCTTTATAGCCGCGCGTGACGTCACGGCGGCCAGCCAATGCGCGCGCGGGGGCGGGGCCGGCACAGCGCCCCCCGCCGGCGGGGCTCTCCGCCTCGACGTCTGCGGAGCATCCCCGCGTCCGCCCCTCTCGGGGGAAGAGCGGGTGAGGAGTGGCGCTGGCGGGGGTCCACCACTCCCCCCTCCGGTTGTGGGTGCCCCGCATCCCCTGCACCGGGATGGGGTGCGGGCCCCACGCCAGAGCAGCGCCCCAGATCTGCTGCCCCCCCCCCCCGAGTTCCTGCTTACCAGTCCACGCGGTGGCCGACCCCGGGATCACGGACAGCTGGGCCATGCCCCCCGAGTCCCGCCGTCCGCGCCGCTGCTCGGCTTTGCAAGGTGCCACCCCGCGCCCCCTCCCCTAGAGCTCCCGCACCCACAGCCCGGGCACCCCCAGCCCCGGGCTCGGGAGGACGCGCGCGCGCGCGACGCACTCAGCAGCAGGGATCGCTCAGGATGTCTAACTTCAGGTCGGTCCCCACCCACCAAGCCACGTGACTGGGGAGGGGGCAGCCCCTGCAGGCCGGTTGGAGCTGGCCTTCCGGGGACCCTCCCTCCGCCGGCACCCTCTGCCGGTGAGTTAGGGCGGGGCGGAAGCCTGGGGTGAGGAGAGGCGAGGGTCCCAGCCTCCGCGCGACTGCACACTAGTGCGAGCCCTGCACCTGCTCGCTGGAACACCTGGCGGAAAAGCACGTTTCAAAGCTCAGCCAGCGCTAGGGCTAGCAGTCTCTCCAGCATGTTTTCAGAAGCAATTGGAACACATTTGTTTGTTTGTTTGTTTGTTTGTTTGTTTGTTTGTTTGTTTGTTGTTCATGAATCATCTCTCAAGCCATTCTCATGGGGCCTTCGGGCATCCTGGGCTCTGGCCTCCACGTTGTGACGTTATGCAAACTTACATTTCCACCCTGCGAACAGCCTCTACCCTCTCCCAGCCCATCTCCCTGGAGCAGCCCTGAAGCAGAAAGATCTGCTCTCTGTAGAAACTGACCATAAAAGTGACAATAACGACATTTACCGAGTGTTTTACCATATGCCAGGTATTGAAATAAATATTTAAAATGTAGTAGCTCACTGAATTGGCAACAGCTTCAGATGTATATTATCATTATCCCCATTTTACAGGCAAATACCTGAGACCTTTTTTTAAACACAATAAGACAAAACAAAACACCTGAGACCTCTTAACTGGTCTCCTGACTTCTGTGGCTCGGTTACCTTCCAATTCCTTGCTTTCCACTGCCAGGGTAACCTTTTCAGACTACAGCCGTGGTCACCTCACCTCCCTGCTTAGATCACCTCACAAGGCTTCCTGTTCCTCTTAAGATAAAGACCCACATATCTTGCCTGGTCTGCTCCCACCTGCTTCTCCACACTGCACTTCAGCCTCAGGAGCCTTCTTCCAGTTCCTTCGAGGAGTCACTCTCCCTTTTGCCAAGGAGTCTGCTTTTGAATATCCTGTTCCCTCTGCGTGTAAACTACTTTGCTCAGTAAACAGACAGCCCTCAGCTTCATGATTGTTCCCCCTGGACCCCAGCTCCACTTTCATTTATTTAGGAAAGTGTTCTCTAACCTTCCAGAGAGGGTGATTCTCCCTAATCATATCCTATGCTTTTCTCTGAACATTTCACACTTTATTTTGGTGATGGTGGTGGAGGAAAGTTGTTATTGGTTGTCTGATTGAATCTTTTTTTTTTTTCTTCTTATCACGGAATCCAAAGCGTTTAGGAGGCTCTCAATCAATACTGAGCGTAAGCACGGCAAGAAGTTAAGGACTTGCCCAAGGAAAGCGAGTGGTAGAGCTTGGCTTTTAAAGAAGGCCAACTGCCTTCTCTCCTGGAACCTGTGCTGGACCTTCCAGACCTGGAAGGGCTGGGTTTGACGTCATGAACTTGCTTTTACCCTCCTGTCCTACCTTCCACACTCGCCCTAGATTCAGAGCTCACAGATTGCTCGTGGGAAAATAAATCCAGAAGGCTGCTCACCTGGCTTCAGGAATCCCCCTGTCCCCCAATTCTGCAGGGAGAGCAGCAGCACCTCCTGGACACAAAGTCGAGGAGGGGGTTGGGATTGCAGCTCACCTTCCACCCCCCTGGCGCGCTCCCAGCAGGGAACAACGGCGACTGTCCTGGCCCCTTCTGTTCTGTCGCCTGGATCCCTGCCTGGTCACTCCCCCAGGTGAGAGTCGCCCAGGGAACAGCGAAAGACAGCCTCGTCTTGTCTGTCTAGGACAAGTGCCTCTGAGCTCAGCCAAGCACGGGGACAGGCCCGACGGTGAGGGCCCTGGGGCTCGGGCTGGGACAGCTCCTCTCTCTCCTCTGGGAGGAAGCCAGGCAGGCAGATCCCAGCTCCCCCCTCCTCAGGCAGCTCAGCTCAGTCTTGCAGCCTTTTTTTTTTTTTTTTTTTTTTTTTTTTTTTTTTTCTGAGGATGGCCCCGTGGAAGAAAGGGGAAGCTTTCATTGCGAGAGCCCCCGGGGGAACACCAAGAAGCCGAAGCTCTCTGGCTGAACTGGAATTTGTCCATATCAAGTGTTGCTGAAAAAGAAATAGGGCCTTGGCTGGAGCTGGGAGTCTGTGAATGCAGCGCAGCTCTTTGCAGTCTTGGGGTGTGTCCTGCAGCAGGATCTGTTGCCTCGACACCAGTTGGCCCCCTCGTCCGTCAGAGATTGTCCTTAGCCACACTGAGACCATGGCGGCCCATCAGCATGGGTCAGTGTGGCGAGGCCAGCCCTCCCCCGGCCCGGCCATGCGCACTGTGAGTTTATGCAGACTGTGGATTGGCTGCTCTGTGTGAGGAGCATCACCTCTGGGCAGCTTCTCCAGTTTGCCCGAATGACGTTGAGCCAGTCCCTTCCTACCTCTAAGCTTGAGTTTCCATATCTGTAAAATGGGTACAGTGAGACTGCAGGTGAACTTGGGCTTTGTAAGCTCTAGGGGCTGTACCAAGAGAAAAGATCATTCTTAATTCTCCAATAGCCAAGCTCCCCTACCTGCATTGACTCATCTTGGAAGAAGTATAATATTGTTAAAACAAGGGTTTTAGACTCTGATACATTAGGTTTCAATTTCTGTTCTGCCACTAGCTATATGACTTGTAAGTTACTTTATCGCTGTGAGTTTCTTTCTTTTTTTCTTCTTTTTTTACATAAAATATTTTTTTATTTGTCAAAAAATGTACCCCTAACAAGCAAACTACAAACTGGGGAGTTTATCTGCAAAATACATGATTAAGGGGAACTATTAAGAATTTTAGAAATTAGTGAGAAACAAGACAAGCATCTCAATGACAAAAGCCTCATAGACATAATCCACAAAGTACAAAATTAGTAAAGAAAATTTTAAATATACCAAGTTTTGCCTATTAAGATGACAAAGAGAGAAGAGAGAACATAGCCAGTGGTAAAGTGTGAAAAACCGCTGACGAACATTTTGTTAGCAACATGACAATATATACCTTTTGACAGTACACACTTCTGAATTTCTTCTAAGAAAAATAAGCATGTATAAAGATTTAATTAGAGTTAGACTGCTGTGGCCAATAATAAGAGTAGGCTATATAAACTATGGTAAACCCATTTAATGAAATACTATGCATACATTAATGTTGCTGAAATATGACACAGAAAGACATTCACCACTTAAATTTCTAAAAACTCTTCAATGGAAGCCAAAAACAGCATTATCAGGGCGAATGAGTTTTTGTAAATACAAAATGTGTACTGAAAAAGTCTGAGGGTAGACAGCAAAGTATGATGTTTTCCTTTTCATTTGTCTGCATTTCTACATTGTGCACAGATTACCTGTCTATTTTGCTTGGTTTTTTAAATATATATTTTATTGATTTTTTATAGAGAGGAAGGAAGAGGGATAGAGAGTTAGAAACATCGATGAGAGAATCATCAATCAACTGCCTCTTGCACACCCCCTACTGGGGATGTGCCCGTAACCAAGGTACATGCCCTTGACCAGAATTGAACCTGGGACCTTTCAGTTCACAGGCTGATGCTCTATCCACTGAGCCAAACCGGTTTCTGCTGCAAAAAAAATCCTAATTTCAAAGCATCACAGTTTGAACTTAATTGAATAATTTTGGGTTAAATGCACCTGTTCAAAATCCAAAGTTCATCATTTTGTTTGGAACAATTTTTCAGAACCACGTGGTCATGTAAATAAGGAAACAGAGGTAAAATGACGAGAGAGCAACCAACAAAATAACCACAAGCTTTGTCTCAATGGCTATTGCAGTATAATAAATAAATGACAACCAAAACCCCTTTATTTTAGTTTTGAATGCTCTTTCCCCCCCGAGATAAACATGATTAACTTAAAAAATGGCATTTACAATGCCTCTTCAAAGCATTCCCCTTTAACGGGAAACTTGGCTTCACAGAATCCAGACAATGAAAGGTTTAAAAATTATATTTTGTTGCCAAAACCGTTTTTGGCTCAGTGGTAGAGCGTCTGTCTGCGGACTTAAAGGTCCCAGGTTCCATTCCGGTTGGAGGCGTGTATATTGGTTGAGGGCACATCCCCGGTATGGGGTGTGCAAGAGGCAGCTGGTCAATGTTTCTCTCTCATCAGCATTTCTGGCTCTCTATCTCTCTCCCTTCCCCTCAGTAAAAAATTAATAAAATATATTCTTTAAAAAATTATATTTTGTTGTCATTAGAAGACAAAACAGAATTTAATTTAAGTCAAGGAAATCCATTCATACTTCAAGTCCTTCTCCTTCAGGAACCAACATTGTTATATTACTTCCATTTAGCAAAATCTGATCTAATTTAGTGATCCTTCTTCCTTCTGGTGTGATTTCAAATTCAGTGACATCTTCCAGTACCATATTGACAAAGTCATCAATCCTAGAAGCATGCCAACAATT